AATTCCACTCCTAGGTATGTGTCCAAGTGAAATGAAAATATATGTTCACAAAAACTTGTACATGAATGTTTATAACAGCGTTATTCACAATAGCCAAAAGGTGAAAACAACCCAAAGGTTCACTGCTTGGGGTTGAATTGTGTCCCCTAAAAAGATTTGTGAAAGTACTAGCCTCCAGTTTCTCAGAATGTGACCTTATTTGTAAATAGGGTCATCACTGATGGAGTCAAGTTAAGATAAAGTCATGAGAGTGGGCCCCATTCCAATATGGCTGGCATCCTTATAAGAGGAGGAGAAAGAGACACACAGGGAGAAGAGGGCCATGTAATGATTGTGGCATCTGCAAACCAAGAAATGCTAAGCCGGGCAAAAAGAGTGAGACTCTGTCTCAAAAAAAAAAAAAAAAAAAAAAAAAAAACTAGACAAAGACATCACAAAAAAGAAAAACTACAGTCCAACATCTCTTATGAATATAGATGCTAAAATACACGACAAAATACTGGCAGAATCCAGCAACATATAATTCAGAATTATATACTGTGATCAAGGGGGATTTATCCCAGGAATGTAAGGCTGGTTCAAATTCCGAAAGTCAATGTAACATCATGTCAAAAGACTGAAAAACAAAAACCACATTATTATTTCAATAGACATAGAAAATGCATTTGATGAAATCTAACACTCATTTATGAAAACATTCAACAAACTAGGAACAGAAAGGTAGCTGTGTGTGTTGGCACACCACATACCTGTAGTTCCAGCTACTTGGGAGGCTGAGGTGGGAGGATCGCTTGAGCCCAGGAAGTCGAGAGCAGCTGGGCAACATAGTGAGTCTCCATCACAAAAGAAATTTTAAAAAGAAGGGTATTACCTGAACCTGATAAAGGGACTCTTCGAAAATTCCATAGATGAAACCCATTGGTGAAAGAGTGGATGCTATCCACTAAGATGAGAAACAAGATGAAGATGTCCACTCTTGACACTTTTACTTAACATTTTTACTGGACAGTTAGGCAAGGAACAGGAATTGAAAGCATACAGATTGGGAAGGAAGAAGCAAAACTATCTTTAGTTGCAGATGACATAATTGGACTTTCTAGCCTCCAGAACTGTGAGAAATAAATCCTAAGGAAACCACAAAATGTATCAGAACTAATAAATAAGTTGAAAGAAACAGATCAATATACAAAATCTATTTTTACACTTGCAATGAAAAATCTGAAAATGAAATTAAGACAACAGCATCACCTCAAAAAGGAATAAATTGAACTAAAGGAAGTGAAAGGACAATTAGGAAAGAAACAGGAATAACAAGAAACAACTATAGATTGAATCTGTATTTCCTGCCAAAATCCATATGTTGTAGATGTAATCCTCAATGTGATCGTATTTGGAGGTCGGGTCTTTGGGAGGTGATTAGGCAATGAAGGTAGAGTCCTCATGAATGAGATTAGTACCCTTATAAAGAAGTCCCAGAGGCCGGGCACAGTGGTTCATGACTGTAATCCTAGCACTGTGGGAGGCCAAGGCAGGAGGATCGCTCGAGGTCTGGAGTTTGAGACCAGCCTGAGCAAGAGCGAGACCCGGTTTCTACTGAAAATAGGAAGAAATTAGCTGGACAACTAAAAATATATAGAAAGGGCATGGTGGCACATGGCTGTAGTCCCAGCTACTCGGGAGGCTGAGGCAGGAGTATCGCTTAAGCTGAAGTGTTTGAGGTTGCTATGAGCTAGGCTAACTTCACGGCACTCCAGCTCAGGAAACAGAGCAAGACTCTGTCTCCTAAATAAATAAATAAATAAATAAATAAATAAACAAACAAAAGAAGCCCCAGAGAGCTCCCTGATTCCTCCACTATGTGAGGACATAGTGAAAAGACTATGAACCAGGAATCAGGTCCTCACCAGACAAAAAGTCTGCCAGTGACTTGATCTGGGATTTTCCAGCGTGCAGAACTGTAAGAAATAAATGTATCTTTATTAATGGAAAAACAAGCACCACATGTACTCACCATCAAATTGATATTAACTGATCAACACATAAGTGCACATCTAAGAATAACATCTATTGGATGTTGGCCAGGGGGGATGGGGGAGGGGGGAGGAGGGGACGGGTATATGCATACACAAAAAGTGCAATTCGCACCATCCAAGGGATGGACACACCTGAAACTTGGACTTGGGGGGGGGCAAGGGCAACATACGTAACCTAAACATCTGTACCCCTATAATATTCTGAAATAAAAAAATAAAAAAAATGAGCAAAAATTTAAAAAATAAGCAAAGTATCTGAACAGATATTTCTCAAAAAAAAAAACAGAAATAAAATGGCCAATAGTCAAATGAAAAAAACCCTAGATATTATTAGCTATTAGGGAAAATGCAAATCAAAACCACAATGAGATGCCACTTCCCACCCACTAGGGTGAGTAGATTCAAAAGTGATATGACAATAATAACAAGCGTTGGCAAGGATAGAGAGAGAATGGGACCCTCAGAAACTGCTGGTGGCAATGTAATATGTGCAGCTGCTGTGGAAAACAGTCTGGTAGTTTCTTGAATGATTAAACATAGAGTTAGCTTATGACACAACAATTCCACTCCTAGGTATGTGTCCAAGTGAAATGAAAATATATGTTCACAAAAACTTGTACATGAATGTTTATAACAGCGTTATTCACAATAGCCAAAAGGTGAAAACAACCCAAAGGTTCACTGCTTGGGGTTGAATTGTGTCCCCTAAAAAGATTTGTGAAAGTACTAGCCTCCAGTTTCTCAGAATGTGACCTTATTTGTAAATAGGGTCATCACTGATGGAGTCAAGTTAAGATAAAGTCATGAGAGTGGGCCCCATTCCAATATGGCTGGCATCCTTATAAGAGGAGGAGAAAGAGACACACAGGGAGAAGAGGGCCATGTAATGATTGTGGCATCTGCAAACCAAGAAATGGTAAGCAAATACCAAAACTAGAAGAGTCAAGGATGGTTCATCTCCTGTAAGTTTTATAAGGAATGTGGCCCTGTTGACTTGGCCTTCTAAGAGAATTAATTTCCATTGTCTTTTTTAAGCCACCCAGTTTGTGGTACTTTGCCATGTGATATGCTTTGGATGTTTGGTCTCTTCCAAGAAATGAAAGGGCTATTGATTCTCTCAAATCTGTCTCGTACCTCCTGGTGTCACCCCAATCCATCTAGCTTCTTCCATTGCAGTCCTCCATATTGGAATTATAGGTTTGAAAACAAATCTTATTCATACGTGTATTATTTCAATGTCTAGGAACTTTCTAATGGGCTCCTCTCATCAATAAGAATGAAGGCTCTTTTGTAAGTCTATAGCTTTTCTGTACTTTACCTAGAGAAAGATCAGTGATACACCACCCTGCTTCATGTATTAGATTTGCACATAAAATCATCTGAAAAAAAGGTTTTCACAGCAACAATGTTTGATGACCATTGTGCTGTATACTTGCTAGGTGTGTTCGTAGCTCTGAAATGCTATATTTATGGAAGGGATGCCAAGCCTTTAATCATGTGGGTTTGTATATTTGTGTCTGTCATGGGCGTGGAGATGTGCTATTTGGATCTTCATTCAAAAAGAACTTTTGGGGGGTAAAGGATCAAAAATTACATATTGGGTACAATGTATACTATTTGGGGGACAGGTACACCAAAAGCCCTGACTTCATCACTATACAATTCATCCATGTATCAAAAAACCACTGCACCCCCTAAATCTTTTGAAATAAAAAAATATTTTTGCAAAAGCAGAAAAAAAAAGAGAGATGGTGGTCTCTCTTTTTTTCCTACTCGTGGTCTTTGTCTATTTCCCCAGAATTCCCATTGATTTTGTGAGCTAAACAATTGCTTTATGGTAGCCAACAGCCTTTCTATTTTAATAGCAAAATTCATTTTTATGTTGCTTAAAAATAGGAACCTGTTATGGGTCCTGAGGTTCCCTGGTGATGTCATGTTGACGGAGAGTTGACAAAGGATGAGGTGTTATGCCTGGAGTCATGCCTGAGCCCTCTTTTCTCTCACACCCTACATGTCATACATCAGCAAACCCTGCCATGTCAGACATCACAATAGATTCCAAATCCACCATCTTCTCCCCAACTCTACTGGTTCTGCTGTGTCTGAGCCAACATCACCACTTGCAGTAGCCCCCTAATTGGTCTTTGCTTTTGTCCTCAGCACCTCCTTAGTCTATCCATCATACAGTAGCTAGTGTGAGCCTTGTGAAACATGCCAGTGCATGTCACAGCCTGCTCACCAGCCCTCCAAGGACCTTGATCACTCTCAGGGTAAAGGCCAAGTCTTCACCTTGGCCCACAAGGCCCCACCCAGTCTGGCCCTCAGTAACTCCCTGGCCTCATCTTATTTACTCCTACTCTCTGACTTCCTCCACTCCAGATACACTGGTCTGCTTGTGGATTCCTGAACATGCAGCCTCCTGCCTTATGACTCTGCCATTTTTAATCATTCAGACATGATGGTGGGGAAAGGTAATAAGTCAACAAGAGGGATGAGGCTGGATATTTCATGGGGTTGCCCAACCAGAGGGAAATAAGTGGGCTGGCAGAAAAGACAATTAATAACAAGGAAGTAAAAAAGGCCATTTCAAGTTGTTTGCTGTGCCCCACGTAGGTGTCACACACCATGTACAATAAACTCGCCACACTCAACAGTCTTGAGTTCTTTGTTGACTTTTAAAGGCGGCTGGGGGGTGAAGATGAGAATCAAAGAGAAAGGACTGTCGATTACATTTTGGTCAATATCAGGGCACACACAAAAAGGGACAATCATAAAGATGTAGAATCTGCAAGCATTTGGTGCAGACAGAAACAGGCAGAGGTGGTCAAGTGAACATGAAACCTGCAGGCTAAGGTGGAAATCTTGGACAGGGCACTGCTTTTCTACTGGCTGTAGAAGATATACAGATGCATATTTTCAGATGACCCTAGTTGCCTGTGGTCCCATGACAGTAAAAACAGTGCCTTCTTGTAGGGATGTTGTGAGAATTGGCCTGGTGAGGAGGATGGGTGCGCCTCATGCTAGCAAAGCCATTCTTTGACGTTCCTTTCTCGCCCAGCAGGGGGCGCTCAGCGGACCAGCAGACAAAGCTCATAGGTCGGGGGAATGTTGCCAAAGCCAGAGACCATGGGAGTGACGTCGATGTCGGCGGGCGGCACTAGCGGACGTAGAGAGAAGTTCTGAAGGATGGAGGTGAAGTAGAGGAAGAGTTCCATGCGCGCCATGGACTCGCCCAGACAGATGCGCTTTCCTGTGGCCACAAGGGAGGGCAAAAGGGCACGTCACACCTGGACAGGTAACAGGGCTGTAGGAGCACCTGGATTGACCACCCCACTGAGCCTCAGCAGCATCTCCAGGGTCGTGATTGTACCCACTTTATAAGGGGTTGTTGGAAAGGCTTAGTAGGTTCCTGTATTTAGTACTCAGCTAGGACCTGCCACTTGTAGAGACTCAACAGGTGGCGGCTGCTTCTCTGATGGCTGGGATTCCCTCCCATTCCAAGATGGACTGGTTCTAAGAGATCCATGGGTTTCCAGCTTGTGTTCATTTCAATTCCTCAAAGGTTTATTGAATGCCTAACAGGTGTCAGACACCGGTGAGAAAAAAAAAGTGGAAGCTCATACTTAAATAATGCTTACTTTTTGTAAGGCACCTGTCCAATTGTTTGGAGAGATTAATCTCCATTTCACAAATGGGGAGCTGAAGTAACTCACCCAAGGCGCCACTGTTTGTACATGGTGGAGTGATGTCCACTTTCCCAGCCACTGCCCTGACTACAGGTTCTAAATGATGCACATTTGAATGCCATTGTGCCAAGATTTTATGCTGTAGGTGGGCAAACCATTGTCTGTAGGGTGAATCTGTCCTGCTGCTTGTGTTTATACTGCCTGCAAACTAGAAACGCTTCTTGCATTTTAAAAGGGTTGGGGGAAAAATCAAAAGAAGAGTAACATTTTGTGATATGCAAAAGCTAAATGAAATTCTAATTTCAGCATCCATAAATAAAGTTTTTGTGGCTCACACACATGCTTATTCATTTAAATATCGTTTGTGGCTGCTTTCATAGTAAAATGGCAAAAGCGAGTAGTTCAGATGGGGACCATCTGGCTAGAAAAACTGAAAATATTTTTTATTTGATCCTTAACGGAAAGTTTGCTGGCCCCCTGTTTAGTGCTATTCCTGGTCTAATATTTTTTTTCTAATTATCAGAGTCAATGCTTCTAATATTCCCTGATTCTATGATAAAATTTTATGATTATGTGATACAGACTTCAATTTCCCATTTTGAGTTGAACTTCAAATACAGACCAATTGCTGGAGGGTGGACCTAGCGCACACCTGGGGACAGGGGAGCTACACATAGAAACCTACCAGAGGCAAAAGGTACAAAGGCTTCATTCTTCTTGAAGCGGCCCTGCCCATCCAGGAAGTGTTGAGGATAGAAGGCATCTGGGTATTGAAAGTATTTGGGGTCTTTGAGGACTGAACCAAGCAGGGGAAATACGTCTGTGCCCTGGGGTGAAAATGGGGACAGTTAGGAGAAATCAGTGTTGGACTCTGGGAGTAGGGATCCAGGAGGAAAGAGGGGTGCAGTGGAGGGTGAAGGGGCGGCAATGAGGGTGCAACCCCACCTTGGGCAGAAGGTAGCCTCGGAAATGAGTGTCCCGGGTGACGTTGTGAGGAACACCCATGGGCACGATGTCTGTCAGTCTCTGTATCTCATGGATCACGGCGTCCGTGTAGGGCATCTTGACCCGGTCATTCACGCTTGGGATCCGGTGTGGTCCAATCACCCGGTCAATCTCTTCATGGATCTTGGCTGGAAGAATAGAGCAGAGAAGAACACAGGAAAGCACAGGAGGTGTTTTTGTTAGAGAAGCCAGGGCAGATAATGCATTTCTATCTCCAGCAGAAAGTGAGCTCTGAGGCTCAGGCCATGTGTATTTGGATTGCCTCTGTCTACTTTACAGTGGACACATTAGCAGTGCTCAGTAAGTACTCATCAAACATCAAACCAGCTAGGATGTTTGGTCTTTACTTGAAAGCACAGAGGTGTCACGGAAGGCTAATGAGCAGGGGAGTGTTCTAGGCCCAGCTGGGCTTTCATAGACAGATTTTTGACAAAGTGGGAAAGAGGCATGCTAGGTAACTAGACCAGAATTGAAGCAAATAACAGTCATGTGACAGAGATGAAGCACACCATTGGTGGAATTACCCCTATCTGCACTTCATGGATGAGTGACCTTGGGGCAAATAACTTCACCTTTTGGGCCTCTGTTTCTCCATCTTCAAAATGGGTGTGATGGTCTGACAAGATCACAGAGTGGTAAGCATTACATAAAGTCCAGTATGCAAGAACTTAGGACTGTGCCTGGCATATTGACCAATAAATATTTGATTATTTAGATCAGTAAAAGACAACTTGGACAGTGGAGGTGAGACTAGAAACGTTTGAGTGGAAACGCATTACTCTCTTATCTGTACCAGGAGAAATCCTTTGGCTTGTTTTGAACTGCATTAATAGGAAACGGGGCTATAACTGGGAATTTTCCTTAAGCAAGTAATGAGTTCCTCATTAGCAGAGCTGCCAACCAGACCAGATTATAATTTGTGGCCTTCTATTTGTATTTTGGCAGTGTGGTCGGCTCAGTAGTGGCCATCAAAGATATCCATCTCCTAATCTCTGGAATGTTACATCGATAAGGATCACAAAAGGACAAAAGAGACTTTGCAGATGACATTAAATGAAGGATCTTGAGATGAAGACATTATCCTGGGTTATCCAGCTTGGCCCTGTGTATAATCATGTGTGCCTGCGTAAGACAGAGGCAGGAGGGTCAGAGTTAGAAAAGGAGATGTGACAATAGAAGCAAAGAGAGTTTTGAAGATGCCATGCTACAAGCTTTGAAGATGGAGAAAAGAGTCATGAATTTTGGAATACAAGGAATACAATTTTGGAATACAAGCTCTAAGCACTGGGACAGACAAGGAATCAGATTACACCTTGGTTTCAGCCTAGTGAAAGCCTATTTGAACGTCTGAACCTCACAACTGTAAGGTAGTAATAAATCTGTGTTGTTTTTAAACTGCTAAATTTATGGTAATTTGTTACATTAGCCACAGGAAACAAATACAGACAACAAGTAGGAGATTAAATTAAATGGCCTCCCAAACCTGACCAGACTGTAATTTGAGGAGAAGGATCATATTTGATGTTGGCAGTACAGTCAGCTAAATGATGGCCATTGGTTAGAAATGAGCTCGTTAGTTAGAGATTTCGAGATTCCATATCCTGAGGTTCTAAAGGGTGACCAGTCGAAGGCTGTGGGATTCTAAATTTTCAAGATTATGTCTTCCTTCTATTGAGAGTGGGAGGTACCAGATAGGCAGGCTGGGGTGGACACTCACCTTCCACCTCCGGGTGCTTCATTATCAGCAAGAATCCATAGCGTAGCGTAGAGCTCACAGTCTCTGTGCCAGCAAAGAAGAGGTTCAGAGTGGTGAGGACCAAGTTCCTGAGGTTGAATTCTGTGTGGGGATTGTTTTTATCCTGAAAGTGAGGGGGATAGTAAATAGAATCACTCTCTTCTGTCTTTATTTTCTTATTTTCTCCCTGGGTATACGGAAGCATTGATGAATAAACAAAGTGAGTGTCTGGGAGAAGCAATAATCCAAGCAAAGGTTCTCAGGCGGGAGCACGCCTGGTGTGTTAGAGGAACGGCAAGGCAGAGGACAGTGGGCTGGAGTGGAGTGAACAACAGGAAGAAAGAGAGGAGTTTGGGGACATTAGCATATATAATTTTAAACTTCCAAGTGCTAATGTTCTATAACATAAAAATATAAATTTATAAAACTTTAAGAATCGAGGATACACAAGTATTAAGTTTCTAAATTTCTACATCTCTAAGACTTTAAACTTTTAAGTTTAAACTCTTAAGTTTAAAGACTTTAAATTTCTAAGTTTCAACTCTTAAGTTTAAAGACTTTAAACTTCTAAGTTTTCCAAATTCCAAGACCCTAAAGACTACAGTTGTAAGTCTTTTGACACATATGATGAGAAGGGTGTAAGATTTAAAGTTTCTATTTTCCTAAAATTTCTAGATTCAAAGTTTATTTTAAAGGTAAAAGAATTTATACTTTTACAGTTTCTATATATGTCATCTGCAGATAAAAGGAAACCATGAGAAATAATAACTTGTTTTTTTGTCCCCCGCATTTGTAGGTGGGTTTAAAGTGGCAGGCTCTAGAGATTGAGGAGGTGAGAAGAAAGGATTAGGGGAAGGGGAGGAGGTACCTGGTGCATCTTGATGAGGAAGCAGTCAATGAAGTCCCGTGGGTCTTGGGGGTCAAGGGATGCTTCATTGATCTTGACCCTGGAGGCAACGAAATCCTTGAGCTCCTCTATTATGTAGTAGATACGATTGTGTCTTCCTGGCAAATATTGCATGATTCCAGAGTACATGTCATATAGCTGTGGGGCAACAGGCAAAAGGGATTTGTCAATGATCAGCACCAGGGGCTGAGTGAAATCAGACAGCTGAGCTCAACACCCAGTGCTGGGTCTAAGAATTGGGTGAGTCCCTTTTGCTTCTTGGACACGCAGTCATATTAATGCAGTAGTTCTCCCTTACATAGTTTCACTTTCCATCATTTCATTTACCTGCAATCAACTATGGTCTGAAAATACTACATACAATAAGATATTTTGAGATAAAGAGAGAAAGAGCAGCACGTAACTTTTATTAGACTATGTTATAATTTATAAATTAAACTTTACCATAGATATGCACGTTCAGGAAAAACTTAGTATATAGAGAGTTTGATACTATCTGCGGTTTCAGGCATCCACTATCTTGAAACATATCCCTTGGGGATTAGCGGGGAACTACTGTACATGCCTCCCAGGGTTGTCGGGAGGACTGAGTGGGGTATAAGCAGGTGCTTGGTTAACTGGGGTTGGAGGCATGGGCAGAGATGGCTAGGTGGACACCTGTGCCCAGGGCGTACTCATCTCGACGAAAGCCGTGTTGATCATCTGCAGCAGATTCAGGAACTGCTTGTCCTCATAGTCGAAGCGACTTCCAAAGACAACAGAACTGATAACATTGGAGGCTGTGCGGCTCAGGAAGAAGGTGGGTTCAATGGGGGCACCTGGGTGATGGAGATTGTCTATGTTGGAGGCAATGATTATAAATAAGGGGAGTGGAATCATTCATTCATGGATTTGAGTCCCATGTCTATTGCTTACCAGCATGTGTGAGTTACTTCATTTTTGTTTTGAGTCTAGATTTCCCAATCTGCAAATTGGGAATTACTTCATTGGTTCATGAGGATTCATCGTAATTATCCACGTAAAATGTTTAGCACAGTGCCTGGCGTGTGGTAAGAAGCACTTAAGAAATACTGGTAGAGTTTAATAATAATAATAATTATTATTATTACTTAAATGTATTGGTTTTGGAGAGTCATGTATTTGTGGAAAGAAGTGGTAGTAACGGACACATTAAAAAAAAAAGAATTCCTGAATTCTGTCTAGCTCTACCAGTGATTCCATCTGGAACGATGAACATGTTCACAAATATACAATTTTAAAAATAATTTCTGGGAGTACATGGACATTTGAAGCCTTTATATTCACCCTTGCAATCATCCATGGAGCTTAGGTGAGGAACCTCTGATTTAGAGAAATGTATCTCTATTTCTACTTCTTATCTATTTATCTCTGCATTTCTCAGCCTCTGTGTCTTTTCTCTGTAGACCTCAGTGTTTCCAGACCTTATTGTTTTCTATGTTACGTATATTGCCTTTGCCCCACCCGAGTCAGAGCTTCCAGCGTGTCCTTCCCCCAGATGGTGTGCACCGCATCCATTAGGTGTGAATATACCCATCCCCTCCTCCTCTCTCCCATCTGCCCGACACTGACCTTATTTTTGGTGGAACTGGATTCCTTTAAAAATATAATGAAATGATTATAGAGTTTCATATTTGTAAGATGGAAAACTTCTAAAGATTTGTTTCACAACAATGTGGCTATACTTAACACTACTGAACTGTATGTTTAGAAATGGTGAAGATGGTAAATTTTATGTTATGTGGTTTTTTACCACAATAAAAACCATATAAATATAATGAAATTTGATCCTATCTCCAGCAAAGGTCACAAAATCTGTACACGCTATCAGGAGCTCACAGATGCCCTGAGATCCATTGATTAAAGTGTCTGGACAACTGGTCTCTAGGGGTCTTCCATATTAACTTCTAACATGGTACCTGGCCAGAAATCACAGTGAATCCTTAATATTTTCCATCCTCCCCCATTCCAGGGCTTTCTCCCACCCAGGCCCATCTTCTCATGACTGAGCTTTCCATAACGACCCAGTCACCTAGTGTCCGCCCGCTTGTGGGCCACCATACCCTTGGTCTTCCGGAATTCCTCCAGTAGGTAGCCGGCCTCCTCCTGGATCCGTTCCTCAATGCTCCGCTTTCCCATCCCGAAGTCCCGAAGGATGGTCAGAGAGAAACGTCGGAGAATCCTCCAGCGATCTCCATTGGCCATAACTACACCTGCCATGATCTCAGTGTCAGGCTTCTGCCTCCCCTCCCCTTTCTGTGTTCAACTCCATGCTAGACAATGATGAGGACAGATTGTGAAAGCTCTAGACTGTTGTCAAGGAAACCCCTCCCAATCTTCCAGGCTCAATGAAGAGAGGAGATCAAAGAAAGTTCTTACAGGAAAGAGAGCTGGAACTGGATAAATAAATAAATGCATGGAAGGCAGAAGGAACTATGGATAGAATGCATATAGAATACTCCATAATGGGATACTAATTTTATTTTCTATACACCACTTCAATTCTCTAGATACATGTATGTACATGTACACAGAAGCTCACTCTTGTATATGAATATATCCATACAAAAGGAGTTACCATGTAGCAAGAAATATTTAGAAATTACCAAGTGTAAGGACTAATGAGAGTCTCATTCTGATGCATTAAAATTTAATGGAAATTTAATGAAATTGTTTTCATTAATTGATCAATAGCAGAAAGAGTTTATGACTGGAATGACGGATGGATGGTTAGATAGATGAAAGAGTTAATAGATGGGTGAAGGGTTAATGGATGGATGATTTGAGATACATGAATAATGGTTGGAAGGATCGATGGACAGAAAGATTAATATATGTATGAATGATGGAAGGGTTAATGAATGGATGGATGGATGGATAAATAGAAAGTTGATTGATTCACGTATAGATAATTGAGCAAAAGCTGTTTGTGTAGAAAGAATAATAAACAGACCAGGCATGGTGGCTCATGCCTATAATCCTAGCACTCTGGGAGGCCAATGCGGGAGGATCGCTAGAGGTCAAGAGATTGAGACCAGCCTGAGCAAGAGCAAGACCCCATCTCTACTAAAAAATAGAAAGAAATGATCTGGACAGCTAAAAAAAAATATATATATATATATATATAAATTAGCCAGGCACAGCAGTGGTGCATGCCTGTAGTCCCAGCTACTCGGGAGGCTGAGGCAGAAGGATTGCTTGAGCCCAGGAGCCTGAGGTTGCCGTGAGCTAGGCTGACGCCATGGCACTCTAGCCTGGGCAACAAAGCAATACTCTGTCTCAAAAAAAAAAAAAGAATAATAAATGAATTTATGGATCGATGGACATAAGGAAGAGAAGGCACAGGGATAGATAGATGGAAGGATGGAAAGAATGGGGTGCGACTGTTTGGAACTGAAGGATGTGGGCAGTTAGAAATGGATGCATTGGAGAAAGGGATCTACTTAAATGGAGGAGGCAGAGACCTATGGGTTAGGCATGTGTATGTGTGTAAGAAGATGAGAAGTAATGTTGGCTATGAGGGCTTCAGCAGATACATAATCACTCAGTAATCCATTAAAACCATGAATAGAAATGACCCAGAAAACACTCTAGAGTCAGATGACGGGGGTTCAATATAAAGTGGTCCTACCACTTACTGTGTGACATAACCTAACCGTTCTTACCCTCCGCTTTTTCATTTACAAAATCAGTACAATATTAATAGCTCTCTGAAAGGAGTTGATGCAATAATTCATGTAAAGTCATTATCAAAGAACTTGGAACATAAGGAATACGTTATAATCAGCTTGTTTTGATTGTTGTTGTTGCTACCTACCATGACCTTGGAAGTTTCGGTCTACTGAAGCCAAGTTTCCACGGCCACTGAACTCATCTGCTTGGTCTACCAGGGCTTCCTTCACTGCTTCATGTCCACATAAAACAACTATTGGCCGGGGTCCCATGTACACAGTGAACACAGGGCCGTATTTCTCTCTGAGCTGGGAGTGAAGGAAGACACAAGAGGAGGGGATTAATTGGAATACCAGGTGTAGACTAATCAAGGATTTTAGAGGATAATGATTTTACAGGGATACAAATGTGGGAAGAATAATGAATACAGTTAAACCCTGGGCTTGGAAGGACTATTGGGAAAAAGGTATAGAAATCTTTGCTCCTGTGGTCTTGGGCAAGAACCTGCCCCTTACCACAAGACTTAGTTCCCTCATCTGTAATATAATAAACCCGCATTAGAAGAATTCTGAGAGCCATGCTTCTCTCTCTGAAATGCTAAATTTCTAGAATCTTAAGATTTCATAACACTAAGTCAGAAATTTCTAAGACAACCTGAGTCCAAGAGTCCTTGTGTATAAAAATATGATGTACTGTGATTCCAAAGTCCTGAGATTTTGAAAGTCTTATTTTGATGCCCTAGGAACTTGTGTTTCCAAAATTTTAGGTTTCTGGAATTCTAGAATTATAAGGTTTGGAAAGTCTGTGTTTCCAAGAGTCTATTTTGAAGAAGTTATAAGGTTCTATGTGTATCGGGCTATAGCATTAGTTACTTCTCGCCCTATGTGAGGGGACTCACCTTCAGGAAAGACTGAAAGGTGGCATCAGTGCGAACTTGTAGCAGGTTCCCCAGGAAAGGTATTGGTGTGGGGCCTGGGGGCAGCTTTCCTCCCTTGTTGTTTCGTTTCCAGGCAATGAGGATGATGAGGCAAGACAAGCAGAGTCCCAGAAAGATGGTGAAGCCCGCTCCCAGCTCCATGGTGGTGCCAGGCCAAGAAGTTGTATCCTGGGCACCAGATCCTGCCTAAATAGGTTCTGGGAAATCAGCTTATACAGAAATCTGAACACCCTCGGATTCAAATTTTCCAGGCACAGACACCATCAGGGAAGAGATTGCCTTTTCTGGCGGGTGATTATATAATGTATAATCTCCTGGCTGAATAAAGGTAAATTGAATTCGCACAGGGAAATCCACTGGGGCCATTCCCCTTTCTTTGTATTTCCAGTCTCCCAGTTGTTCTCCCGCAGCTTAACTTATGATTCAGCATTTCTTGGTGGGGTGCAAGAGGCAGTTGAATATCTTTTTAGGCTATTGAGTTTAGGGTTCAGACAATCTGGGCATAAGTTTCAGCTCCATCTTCTCTTCACCGGGCAAATCACTTAACCTCTCGGCCTGTTTCCCGATCTATCAGATAGAGTAACCATATTGCTTTAGAAAGTCTTGATAGACAACACGGAAGACTTTTGGTTCATCCTTTAATTAGAAATGACCCTGATTAATCAGTTTTTTAAATTTTAAATTTTTAATTGACACATAATAACTGTGCATATTTGTGGGTACAGTATGATTTTCTTTTCTTCTTTTTTGAGACAAGGTCTCACTCTATGGCTGTGCTAGGGTGCAGTGGCATAGTTATAGCTCACTGCAACCTCTAACTCCTAGGCTCAAGCAATCCTCCTGCCTCAGCCTCCTGAGTAGCTGGGACAACAGGTGCATGCTGTCACACCTGACTGATCTTTCTATTTTTTTGTAGAGATGGGGTCTCACTCTTGCTCGGGCTGGTCTCAAACGCCTGGCCTCTCAAAGTATTAGGATTACAGTCATTAGCCACCTAGCCCAGCCACTGTATGATGTCTTGATACATGTATACAATGTATAACAACCAAATTAGGATAATTAGCATATTCATCACATGAGACATTTATCATTTCTTTGTGGTGAGAACATTCAAAATCCTCTCTTGTAGCTATGTCTTAGATCTGCTGCTAGGATGTCTTTCTTGGGGTACAGACCCAAGTTTAGGCTGCCTCCTTTGACTTTCTCAGCTTCTGCCTCCCCTCCCATTCTGATCCCTCCAACACTCCCTCCTCCTTATACCCGTTCAGGACCCATCTCTTAACTACCCTCCGGTGGCATGTGTGAGGTGGTGGTGGTGGTTTGTGAGTCTGGTCTTCATATGGAGACAGGAAGGGAGAGAGAAAGTATCCTTACCCAGGTGACGGAGGCAGTGATCTGATCTCTCCACCTAATCTAGGAAGAATGGAGCTGGGGGAGGCATCTATGAGGCCAGGTTGACGGATTGAGGAAAAAGGAGAGGGCTAAGAAGGGTGAGAAGGGAGGAAATGTTCCTTCCTGGCCTCTTCCTTATCCATCACCCTGCCCCTCTGGAATTACATCAATTACATAATCATCAAAAAAAATTATATAATCATCTCCACCTTACTCTTCCCCACAGGCAGAGAGCCAGAAGGGGAGGTATTTGGGCAAACAGCTTAATCTTTATAACCACCTATGAAGAGCATCTGAGAGGGGAGGTCTGGCCCCATCATTCCAGAGCCTTCCAGATAGGAAGTCAGAGGCTGAGGAATGCCTTCCTTCTGTTCACCCAACAGTGGGGGAAACAAAAGCAGGGCGACCTTGTACATGAATGTTCATAGCAGCCTTGTTCACAATAACCAGCAGGTGAAAGAAGCCAAGTGTCCGCCAACAGGTGAATGAATACACACAATGGGTCTATCCATCCTTTGGAATATTATCCAGCCATAAAGAGGAGTGAAGTACTGACACCTGCTCCAATGTGAATGAACCTTGAACACACTGTGCTAAGTGAAAGAAACCAGACACAGAGGTCACGTGATTCCATTTATATTTCATGTATTCCATTTAAAGGAAACTAACAGAATAGGTAAATCTATAGAGACAAAGCATACTAGTGGTTGCCAGGGGCCAGACGGAAGGGAGAGGAACGGTTACAGGGTTTCCTTGTGGGGTGATAAAGTGTCTTGAAATTAAACGAAGGCTATGGTCGCCCAGTATCATGAATAGCTACTTGTGCTGCCTCACTTTTGCACACTTTAAAATGGATAATGATTATTTTATGTTATGTCATTTTGCCTACAAAAAAAAAAAAAAGCAAGGCAGCTCAGATATCCATGTGGCTCCAAAATAAATTTATTTTGATTTCATTGATTTCAGAGATAACAGAGATCAGAGAGGTAACAGAGATATTTTGGAGTCACACAGCACAAAGGTTGAGGGCTAGACTGACCCTTTCAACTCAACAAAGGAAAGAAGGGTGGGTGTGGAGGGTGTGTATGGGGATGAGGGAGTGAAGCAAAGTACCTGGTTCTGCTGCTGATGTCCTGTGTAACTCTGAGTCTAAATATTTTCCTTACTTGAGCCTCAGTTTCTCTAATTGCTAATTAGGGTGGTTACACTAAGTTATGGAAGGTATTTCTAGTCCCTGAAACCCTAAGGTTTTATCCTTGGTCAACTGTGAAGGCCATGTGGGGATGAATCGAGACTACAGCAGGCTGGATGGAGGAGAGACCAGAGAAAGGACTTCCCACAGTGGAGAGTCAGCAGGGAGCAGCTCAGAGGGGCTCTGCAGATTCATTCCGTGCAGAGGCTGCAGCTGAATGGAAGGAGCCTGAGGGAGTCTGCATCCTTCTCCCCCTCTCCACAGGGGCAGGAAGCAGAGCTGGAACACGGGGGCAGGGGTGGGTACAGAGGGGAGTAGGATCTTCCCCAACTCTTTCACCTGGGTCCTCAGGTTGATGTCTCTGGAGCTCTGGAGCAGCCCAAGGAGAAGTTCTGTGGCATCTCAAGAAGAGGAAGAGCTCAAAGGAGGCCAAAATGTTTTCCAGGAATGGCAGAGGTGGCCCTGGGAGTGAGGCAGCCCCAGGCCCAGAGTAGCAAGAGGCCAATGGGGACAATGTGGAGTGAGAAGGCTGAGGACACCATGGCCCTAATATCACGCACCTTCCATCCTGCTGTCCCTCTTAAAGGGCGAGTTGTTCTGTTTGTTGTTTCATTTCTGTGGTTGGAGGGGGAAGGTGTACCAGGAGTTGGCAGAGCTCCTGCTAACTCTGCAGAGGCTACAGGGAGCCCAAAGGCAGCAGATGTTGCAGAAGCCAAAAAGTTAGTGCCTCAGGGTTACGTTCCAAAGCCAGCTTCCCTCGGGCCACTGGTTGGTGAGGAGTCTTCTGGGCAATGCCTTTACGCTTACAGAACCTCCCTCAAGGAAGGGTGGTGGTACCAGCTGCTGGAATGTGTGGAGTCCAGATTCAGAGTGGTTCCACTACTAGGGTAGCTGTCAGGCATTTTGGTCAAAGGGTGGCATTGCAGCATGAGGGGTCAAGAGTAGCTGGCAGGCAGAACTGGGGCATTCTGTGGCCTTTGGGGACAGGAATTTATTCTGGGTATCAGAAGGGAGACATGGAGCAGATGTGGCCTGACGGAGGAGACCTGGCTCCATTTGGGATGGGTTTGGGGGCGTGGCTGACGTATTCATTCACTCACTCACTCACTCCTCAGTGGATGTTTGGAACACTTGTCATGTGCCTCACACTGCTCCAGGTGCTGAGATACAGCGAGGAACAAGACAACGTGTTGGCCCTTCACAGAGTTGACACCAAGGTGAGGGAGAAATACGGACCAAAAGTCCTTGCAGAACAATCTCAAGGGACTTGACAATAAATGAATCCCCCACAAAACAGCCCAGATCACCTCTTGACCCAGGGAGGTCAGGCTTTAGATGTTTATTTGATTCTCAGGAGACTTGAAAGGATATCACACGGCTCAGGTGACATGGGCTGAAGAGGCCCTTTTAAAGCAGGAAGAAATAAGTAGCGGCAGCAGAGAGTGAGGAAGAGGGAGGACTTGGGCAGGTATGACTGCGGTCCCCAACATGGATGAGCTCGAAAATATTGCTCGAAGTGAGAGAACAGACACAAAACATCACGCACTGCGTCATGCCATTTATAGGAAATATCCAGAATAGGTAAGTCCACAGGAACAGAAAGCAGATTGGAGTTTTCTGGGGGCCAGTGGGGAATAGGTAACGGGTGTGACTGCTTAATAGGCCTGGGTTGTAGTTTGATCATCCGGGGAAGATGCTAAAAATGTTTGGAACTACGTGCCGCTGGTTGGACAACATTGTGAATGAACATTGCCACAACGTCTCACATTGTAAATGGTTAATTTTATCTTATGTGAATTTGCTCTTAATTTAAAAATATGTGTATGAAAAAGAGGGGGCTGTGATGAAGTTTGGGTTCTAGAGCCTGAGTGTGAATCCTGCTCCTCCACTACTAGCGACGTGAGCTCAGACAGCAGACGCTGTGGAGGGGGAAGGACACGGGCTCGCAGCAGGTCTCTCAGAGGCAGGGAGCTGTGGAGGGAGTCAGGGCCATTGTCTTTGGAGGTGGAGACACTTAATGACCCTGGAATCTTTTTACCCCCTTCCCTCAGCCCCTTTGGCGAGGCAGGAAGCGGATCTGGTATTTTGGGGGTATTTTGCCCAGACCACTCTCCTGGGGTGTGAGGTCGATGTCCTCAGGTGCCACGGGGCTGGCCAGGGAGAAGTTCTGGAGGATGGTGGTGAAGAAGAGGAACAATTCCGCCTTGGCAATGCCTTCACCAGGACAAATGCGCTTCCCTGTGGGCACAGAAGGAAGATCACCAGTGTGGGTAGGCCGGTGCACATTCTTTGCCCTGCCGCACTCGTAAGCCCTGACGCTTGTGTCCATTGCAACAGATTTGCATGAGATTGACCTTTAACCTGGAATTCAGGGTGAACTTTTAGGTGGTTCCCAAACCCTCTGAAACTGGGTGCAAATCATTGGGATGATAAGCCACGTTCATTTCTCTAGGAGAGAGTTTGTGTGTGTTTTACCTCTACCTATGTAGGTGTGAGCATATTTCTGACTTCACCTATTTAGTGTTCTTCATTTCTCATACGGGGAGAATGGTATCTATCTATGGGGGCTCTTGTGAGGGTAAAGGAAATGTCTATGAAACTTCTTAGAATAGAAGCCGGCTTGAATTAAGACTCCTCAATGCGTAGTTACTGTCTTGGGTTTGTTTCCGGGAGCATGTGTGGGGTGTGTGTTTCTGGCACTGTGTGTGTGTGTGTCTGTCTCTGGGCTGTCTTCTTACCTCAGCCTGACATCCAGGGACTTCAAGACTTCCCGAAAAATATCCAAATGATATATAAAATCGGAATTGTGATTGGTGCACACGGCCACGGGGATGGGGGTGGTCTATGGTTCCCAGAGCATGTGAAGACCTCGCCCACCTCCCCAGTGCTGGAGGATAAATCCAAACTCCTCCCCCAGCCTTCAAAGCCCTGCCCAGCTGAGCTGTTCACCTTATTTATTTTCCTCTGGAAACTACACCCAAGTCTCCCTTGGCCTTCTTACAGTTTCTCAGATGTGTCATCAGGTTTCTAACTTCAGGCTTTGCCCTGCTGTTTGCTCTTTCTAGAACACTCTTTCCGGTGGCTGATTGGTACCCACCTATGAGCATCTCAGCTTGGAACCCAGCTCCTCAGGAAAGCTCTTCCTCACAGACCCACCAAGATCAGTCAGTGTTTCCTATTTTGTGCTCCCCACACCGCCTTTAGAGCACTTATCATGATTATGATTAATTATGGTAATAATTGCCCCTGTGAGCATTTATTTTTGTGCCAGGCAGTTCTAACCATGTTAAATGCATCAATTCATCTACTCGTATTATTATTTTGTTACTATTTGATGGGTGCCCATCTCCTCTGCAAATTTCCTGGGGCAGGAGCTATGTTTCTATAAGATTTGTTTGATGCATTATCTTCAGCCCCCAGCAGGGCACTGGACTCAGTGTAGTGCTCAGTAGATTTTTTTATTCAAGAAAATGAATTGACTAAAGTTTAGAGAAATTAAAATACTTTCCCAAGGTCCCGCTTGGCAACATGTGCCCTTGGAGCATAATCCCATTCCTGAAGCCCCTTCATAGGGTAGTAGTAAAGATGGAATGGGATCACACAGATAAGCAAATTAGAATATAGTAAGTGCTCAATAAACAAGGACTTATCATTGTTTTTGTCAGGAGGAGCTGGAACCCGCACTCTGGTGTCTTGGAAAGGGATCTCGGGTGCAGCTTACCTAAGGAAAAGGGAATAAAAGCTTCATTCTTCTTCAGTGCACCATTGGCATCCAGAAAGTGGTCAGGGTTGAAGGCATCTGGTTTTTCAAAGTAACGTGGGTCACGGAGAGCAGAGTTCAGGATGGCAAATACTTCAGTGTCCTGAGGGAGGGTCACAAGATCAAAAGATATTCCCGTTCTCTGGCCAAGCAACAAGAAAAAACCCACAAAAGAAAACCAAATACAAGGGGACCCTATTGAGAAAGCAACAAAAAGTTGAGTTTTCTGATGAAGAGAGTCCAGGATGCCCACATGGGAGAGATCCAAGAGCCCCACTGGTCTCACCTTGGGGATGATGTACCCTCGGAAGTGGGTGTCTTTGGTGACCATGTGGGGCAAACCAAGGGGGGAAAGATCTGCGAATCTCTGAATCTCGTGGATGACAGCGTCCGTGTATGGCATTTTGATCCGGTCTTCAAGGGCCGGAGGGCGATGTGTGCCAATCACCTGTTCAATCTCCTTGTGGACTCTCTCTGCACAGAAAAGGAGACCAATGAATCCCATTTCAAAGAGACATCTCCTCATTTCTATGGGCCAATGAGCCAGGAAAATCCTGTGCTAAAGGGTTAAATCATTGATACACCTCAGCGCAATCAGCTTGGGGTGAGGGACCGAGGGAGGAAGCAAAAAGAATTCTTCCCTTCTAGATGTAATGAATGTTATAGATTCTATCGCAACATGCACAGGTACACACACACACACATACCCCACAATTTTACAGGGAATTTCAGATTAAGAACTCTAGGCTACAAACGTGCTGAAACTCTCTGTCTGAGTAGAAAACGAACTAACATGTGTTGTCTGTGTATTATAAGTGGGGCACTGTGTTAGGTTCTCAAGAACATAAGAGTGAAATCAATAGATTAATGCATGAACAACTGGATAAATGAATGAATACATCAATCGATCAATGAATAGATCAATTCATGAATGGAAAGATGGATGAATGAATGAACAAACCACTAAATGGATGTGTATATTCACTTATAAATCAATAGATAGATCGATTACCAAATCACTAGCTAATAGATGGTCCATAAATACATCAATGAATCTAGTATAATAAATCAATAATCATATCAATGGCGAGATAAAGGATTGAAAAAATTAGTGTATTATGAGTAAAGAAATGAATGGGCAGATTGAATGATAAATAAATAAGGAATGAATAAATGAGTGAATTATTTAGTGGATAAATTAAGGAAGGCATGGATGGGTATAGAATGAATTGAAAAACCAATTGATGGAAGGATTAAGGAATGAAACCTCGTTTATAAAAGGATGGGTGGATGCATGCATAATCGAATGAGCCAGTGAATTAATGACACATAGTCCACTCAACATATCACTGTTGCAAAGAATCAACTCGCGGATCAATTAATTCAAAAAAATAAATGATGAAAGTGTATTTCCTTGCATGAGTCACAGATGAAGAAATCAGTGAGTACGCGGGTGAATTAATGACAGATGAAAGGATGGATGGATGAACGGGTAAATCCTTAAGTGATGACACAGAAAGTCAAATATCCCATGTTCTCACCCACACGTGGGTGCTAAAATACCTGTACACATGGATGAAGAGAGTGGAATGATCGACAGTGTAGACTTGGAAGCGTGAGGGAGATGAACAATGAGAAATTAATGGATACAATATACGTTATTTGGGTGATGGATACCCTGAAAGTTCTGACATGACCACTACACAGTCTATGCATGTAAAAAAATTGCACATATACCCCATAAATTTGTAGAAATGAAAAAAATTTAGAATGCCCTCCCCCCTCAAAAAAGTCTTTAATGATGGGGGAAAACACTGGGAGAACCATTTGACAGATTCTGCATGCATCCACGCATCCACCAAAAAAACTCAAATGGAACTGGAGACTGTTCTCCTAAGTGAAGTATCTCAAGAATGGAAAAACAAACACCAGGTGTACTCGCTATTAAAGTGGAAGTAACCCATGAGCCCAGAGGGAAGTAAAACTCAGTGGAAATCAACCGGGGGGAGGGGGAAGAGGGGAGGTGAGGTGAGGGGGGAAAACCCCACCTAATGGGTACAATGAACACTATTTGGGTGACAGGCACACCTACAGCCGGGACTGAAGCATTACAAAGTCTATTTATGAAACCGAAAACATTTATACCCACAAAATACAATGTTTTGAAATTAAAAAAAAAAACAAACATCTGGCTTAGTTGGAGACTGGTCCAAAAGTCTGTAGTGCTTCTGGAATAACAAGCCAATGTCTCCTCTCTCATCCAGGCAGGACAACCCGCCCCACTTCTGCAGCTCAGAGGGAGTCAGAGGACCCCCCAGTTAGCTGTCCCTGGCCCACCTGTGACATCAGGGTGTTTGAGCATGAGCAGGAGGCCGTAGCGGATGGTGCTGCTGGTCGTCTCGGTGCCAGCAAAAAAAAGCGAAAACGTGTTGACAATGAGGTTCTGCTGGTTGAACTCACTGTGTGGGTTGGATTTCTCCTGGGTGCAGAGGGAGAGGAGCAGGGGTCAGGAGAGGCTGTGGCCTCACTGTGCACACGCCAGTGTCTCTGGGTCCCCTCCATCTGTTTCAGGGTCTCTCACTCTGTCAGGCCACCTTTGCTTTTCTCTGTCCCCTGCACGTCGAACCATGTGTGTCTATCTCTGTCTCACTTGGCCTCTCTTTGGCTCTGTCTCCATCTCTCTCCCCATCTCTGATGTATCTCTCTGTTTTGTCTCCCAGTCTCCTTCTGCCTCTGTGGGTCATTTTTCCTGTTGCTGTAATTTTGTCCCTTGCCCCAATTTTCTTCCTCACCTTTATCTCACTCTGTCTCTCTCTCCCTGCTGACTTTCTCCTCCCTGCTTTCTTCTTCCTTTCACTTCATCTTTCTTTCCCTTCTGCATCTCCTCCCCTCCTTTTTACTACTCCCCCCATTTCTCTGCATCCCTCCTCCCTTCCCCTTCCTGGTTTTCGTGGACCACTCTTGCCTCCCAGTCTTGCCCTCCCTCCCTTCCCCTCTGCTTTCCCTCTCCCACACCCCACTTTTTCCATGCGCAGCAGATAGGCATCTATGAGGTCCCGGGGGACACTGGGGTCCAGGGTTTCCCGGTGCTTTTCCACACTGCGGCCAATGAAGGCACTGATTTCCTGCAGGTTTTTGAAGACCTGCCTCTGTGGGCCAGGAAAGAACTTCAGGAATTCAGGGAAGAGCTCAAACAGCTGCAAGAAAGAGGGGCAGTGAGGTCAGCCTGGGGCACGTGACAGGGAGAAGGCAACCCTCCCACATCCCAAATCCTCCACGGAGAACCTCTCAGTCTCTGTGTCTGTTTCTGTCTCCTTCTCTCTCTCAGCCCCGCGCTCACTGACCCCATGTCTCCTTTGATCTGTTCTCCTATGTTATCTCTTTTTGCTTCTTGCTCCCTTATCCTTGGTCTCTGCCACACCTCCCTGACTGTCTCCTCTCTCCCTCTCTTTATCTCTCTGTCTCCCTTTCTTATCATCTCTCTGTGCCTCTCATTGTCTACCTAAGCCTGTACCTTTGCTTTTCTCCTTCTGTTCTCTGCTTCCTCCCCTCTCCTCGTCTCCCTCACTGTGTCTGGCCTTGATAAAATGATGGTGACACAAGATGAACCTGTCAATCACTCAGGAGTATTTATTTATTTTGGGGCATATTTCTATTGTTTTATCTGATGATAAATGGAAAACCTAACAATGCAAAAATGTATATCATAAGATGTAAAATTCCTTCTTAATCCCTCCCTCTAGAGATAACCATTGTTAAGTGTTGGTGGATCTCTGTCCAGACCTTCCTCTCTCCATGGTTCTCCAAGGGAGGAGAACATTGGAATCCCCTGTGGGGTTTGATGCAAGTACTCCCTGGGGACCCCATCCCAGCCTTTCAGATCAGACCCTCCAGTAGGAAGTGCTGGGAATCCACATTTGTGACACTCCCACATGGGAATTGGACACACAGCTGGTCAAGAACTATAGCTACACCTCCTGTTCTGCATGGGTTAGTATTGTTAAACTTAATATGCAGTAGGAAAAGTTCCAGGGTAGCCAATCAGAGAAGCTTTATTATTTGTTTTAAAAGAGCAGCATGAGGAATTCAAGATGGTGGATGAGAAAAACCACCAGCCAGAGTGTCTCTGCAAAAAAGACAGATTTCGGAAGAAAATGACAAAAAATAAACAAGTAGACAAATATAGATCGGATGAGGGTCAGAAAGAAGGGTGCCTGAAACTACAGGTGACTCCATCGGAAGAAGTTGTGGAGGAGATCTGGAAGGAGAAAGGCCCCCAGGAGGCTTGGAGACCAGCGACAAGGGTAGGTGGAGCAGTTAACTTTCCCCTCCCTTGCATCTCGGACTGCTGGTCGGCTCCTGAGTGGTTGGAGAGACCTGCCAACACTAGCCCAGAGATGGCTGCCACCAGTGAGCGGCGAGCCTTTTGAGGACAGGGCAAAAGCCTCCCATCTCCCTCAGGGCACCTTCCTGCACTCAGACTGGAGCCGATCGGCAGATGCCATATTGCTTCATTCTCTCCTTCCCCTTCCCTACACATGGCTGCCCAGAGAGACAATTTAGCTATGACGTGGAGGCATCTCCAAGGAATGGGACGTTTCCTTTTGGGGCCCTACAGCAGACTGAGGAGTACTCAGAATTTGAGCTCCCTACCTGCCAGCCCTCCCAGGTGCTGCTAGCCTGGTGACTCCAGGAGAACGGGGCAAATCCCGAGGTGGAGAGACATCGACCCAGCTTGGGCACCCCGTGGGTGACCCGAGACCAGCACTCCTCTCCCTGGCAGGGTCAGGGATTGATCTCCAGGGCCCAGGGGACAGGCCTTCAGACCAGATCCCATACAACCAGGTCTTGATCGCATTGAGCCGGGGCACAGAAGGGGTATTTATGAAGGAGCCTACTGAGGTGTGTGTGCCTTCAGGGGCAGATCGGCGGGCTTGAGGGGCAGCCCTCCTCCCATAGGAAGGCCCTGTGCCCAGCCCAGGCCACGATCCTGGGCAGGGAACCTCCCAGCCCGAATCACAAGCAGGGGAAATCCACTGGCTTGAGGTCCTACCTGCTGGCAGAGGCCCAGGAGAAACCACAGAAGAGGGGAAGGTGGAAAGGAGTGAGGCTTGCTCCCGACTGCAGGTCTCAGACAACCCCACTCCCACACACAGACTTTTTGGCTGAGTGAGGCCATTTCAGCCCCTCCTTGGCAGCTTTGCCAAGAAACAGAGAACAGATCTTTCCTCCTGCTAACACCATTTGTGGAACTTGAGGGCAGGCTTACCCAGTCCAGCTTCACCCAGACTCACACCTGGACCTTCCCCCACTTAGCTGGAGAATAAGGACACACCTGGAAGTCTCAGGGCCCCACTCACCACCCAAAGCACAAGAGTGCCTCTCCAGAGCAACAAGAGCTGGTTATAGGACCCCAGAGCAGCACTGTAAGCTGCTCCTCCCAGCAAGCACCACTTACTAACAGGGAGGTCATTCTGCAAACCCTTTTACTGCATCTACTGACTCATCATAAAGGGTGTGGTCGAATCTCACCCACAAACACCACCTACTGGCACAGGGACTAAATAGGGCGTGTCATTATCCAAACAAAAATCTAAAGGCAACAACTGGTCCACATGGGAAGGAACCAGCGAAAGAACTCTGGAAGTATGAAGAATCAAACAGAAAACAGCCCCAAAGAGGAACACCAGCTCTCTAGCAATGAATATTAACCAAATTCAGAACACTAAAGTGACAGAAGAAGAATTTGGAACATGGATTGTAAGAAAACTCAATGATATGCAGGAAAAAACGGATGACCAACACAAAGAAACCACAAAAAAATCCAGGACTTGGAAGAAAAATTCAATAAAGAAATTGAAATATTAAAGAAAAATCAAACTGAACTCCTGGAAATGAAGAATTTATTCAAGGAACTACAAAACACAGTGGAACACCTCAAGAACAGGGTAGATCAAACAGAAGAAAGAATCTCAGGGATTGAAGATAACACCTTTCAATTAAATGAGTCAGTCACAGAGATAGAGCAGAGAAAGAAGAGACAAGAGCAAAGCCTACAAGAAATGTGGGATTATGTGAAGAAGCATAACGTGAGAGTTATGGCCATCCCTGATGATGAAGAAGAAAAGACGGAAAGGTTGGATAAGGTATTTGAGGATATAATAGAGGAAAATTTCCCAGGCCTTGCTAAAAATCTAGATATCAGGTACAAGAACCTCAGAGGACCCCTGGGAGATTCAATGTAAATAGGAAGACACCACGACATGTAGTCATCAGACTGACCAAAATATCCACTAAAGAGGCCCTTCTCTGAGCTGTAAGGCGAAAGAAACAAGTAACATACAAAGGTAAGCCGATCAGAATAACTCCAGACTTGTCAACTGAAACCCTACAAGCAAGTAGAGACGGGGGCCCCATTCTCACTCTTCTGAAACAGAATAATGCCTAGCCTAGAATCTTGTACCCTGAAAAACTAAGTTTTATATACAAAGGAGACATAAAGACATTCTCAGATCAGCAAAGACTGAGGAAATTCACCAGGACAAGACCAGCTGTCCAAGAACTACTTAAAACAGACTTACACATGGATCAGCACAATAAACACTCACAAATGTAAAACCACTCAAACACTAAAGATCAAAGGCCAGATACCATAATGGCTCAAGGGAGAAAACAAAACAACAAAGTTGAACCCA